TCCGCATCAACTCCGGGACCGAGCGACCCATGTGTATCGCCATCGTGACCGGGGTGGCACGTACAACGCACGTAGCGCAAATATCAGCGGCCGCTTAGGGTCGCTCCACCACCCCGGTAGTAGCGCTGATGCCGAAACATGGCAGTGCGGGGTCGGCACACCCTCCGTTGCTCGAAATCATCCGTTGCTTTATAACCTCCACGACCCCACCGTTCTTCGCCTTTTCCGCACCGGATACCATCTCCTTTAGCCTCTTTTTTCGCTTTTGCTGCTCTAACTTTCCTGCACGTCTACGATGAAGTTCGCCGCTGTCCCGCTTGCTCTCTCTGCTCTCGTTCTCGCTGCTCCTGAGGCTCAGGAGAAGCGTCAGAGTGCGTTCTTTTCCCAGTGTTGTATATCACGGGCATAGGCTGATCAGCCTTGTATAATACAGTCGACAGCATCATCAGCGCTGCGACGAGCGCCATCGGTGCGGGTGCTGGCGACGCGACGAGCGCTATTGGCGCCGGTATTGGCGACCTCACCTCTCTGGGTGCGTAGCTCTCGTCCTACTCCCAATGCGCCCAGTATGCTGACTCTGATGTTTCTCCAGCCGGCGTCGGTGTGTCCATCGGTACGCGCCCATAATGTTCCGCGAAATAAAGTATTTGTCTAGGCTGACATCACACCATCCTACAGTCGGCACCGCGGCAAACTCCGTCATCACCGCCGCGGTCTCCGTCGGCGGCAAAGCTTTCACCGAAGTCACCCAGCTCGGCGGCGAGGGCGTCACGCTCGCCGAGAGCGGCGTCGGCGTCGTCACGTCGTTCGGCGGCTCGGTGCTGACGGTCGCCACGGCCGCTGCTGGGTCGGAGCTTTCGGCTGCTTCGAGCGCGGTCGCGTCGGCTTCGGCGAGCATTGCGAGCGCGTCGTCTGCGAGCGTTGCGAGCGCTTCTGGTGCTTCGGCTACTTCGTACGTTGTTGCTCTATGATCAGGTTGATGAAATTGGGTTTGCTGATCACCTGAATAGTGGCGATTCGAGCGCGGCCGCATCATTGCACCCCTCGACCCAGATGCTCTACGCAGCCGGCGTTGTCGCGGGCAGCATGGTCCTCGGCGCGATGTCGCTCTAAGCGTCCAGCGTCTACCTACCGCACACATCTACCCCCTATTTAAAGACCCCACGCCATGATATCCCCGCGCTGCTTGCTGCTTGCGTTGCCACCCCCCGTGCTTGGAATCTCTCTTCGCTTTCTACTGTGTATGTTTTGATCTACTGGACGCTCTGTTGAGCATTACGGTCGCTGCCCCTCGTTAATGCAATGTCAAATTGGAATATGTATGCTGTGATTGGTGTGATACAGGCCGCAGGAGATGCAAGTCAGGCAGACAGTGTTTGTGCTTGATGGCGTCGGCGCATCGGACATCCTACTGAGCCAGTGAGTTGACCGATAACCAGCACTAGCGCGGGCATACGCTGGTTGACTACAGGTTGATCTGGTCTGCCGTTTGTATACCGTCCCTCGCTTCATGATTCTGTTATGGCCCGATGGTCAGCAGTGGCGGCCCGGTGATGCCGGCGGACAGTACCGAGATGGCACTTCACCACCCACTGCGTGATCGAGGTCATCTAGCTCATACTTTGTGGGTCATCGGGTCCTGTCGCGGACCGTCTGCAATGCTATATCTATCTGGGAGTTCTGGCTGAAGGTTGTGTTCATCGCGGACAAGTCTTCCCCGTTGCCATGTCTGATAGGCACGCTTCGTACCCATTCGCCTTGAGCTACCTTCCTCGAAGACATCGCTTGCGGTGGAGGTACTCCCGCATGGGATGACTTTGCAGAGCATTCTCGTGGACATCGAAGGGAAGGCATGTATAGGCTTTGCTCGCCTCCCATTCGGTGCTCCAACCCTTCGTCCAGACGCACGACATCCTCATCGGGCCAGAGAAGCCAACGGGCCACGAGACGCTCAAGTACACGAACAACATCATCGGACGCTACACCAACCGCGTGCCGACATCTGAACGCACGATTTCGAAGGGAGGCATCCAGACGACCATCGCACCTCATCCGCACCCACCTGCGACGCCGCATATGGCTGTACATGTTGGACCATCGGGCTTTGACCAGCTCGTATTCGCCCCGACGCCACTGGACGCACTCGCATCCGCATCGGGACCTCTAAGCGAGAACAGTCTGCCTGGGGCGCTCTTTACCGCGGCGGAGATCACCGAGCTCCAGGCGCGCTTCCCGCAAAGCGCTGGCATGCACTTCCGCGTGATATCCCCGGACGGCGATCAAGGTTACCCAGGTGCTCTGCTGGTCGAAGCTGTCGTTGGGCTTCTACAGCCGCAAGGAAAGCCGGTGCGGGAGTACTCGGCTGGGTCCGTCGTACTCGTGTATCGCGCGGCGCTCTTGTCGAAGGACGTGGTGACGCCCATCAACCTTACGCAACACTGGGGCTTCACGCTCGATGCGTCTCTCGCGGACAAGCACGGTGTCGAAGAACTCAATGTTAAGAGTCATCGTTTGACTATTCAGGCTCCGTATATCTGCGAGGTCGATAGCACGAAGATGCCTACTGGCAAATTGATCTCGACCGATGGCACGGCGCACGCCCATAGGAACAAGGTGATCGGCGACAACTTCCCCTCGCCTGGTGGATACGGTATGCGACCTTTCTTCGTTGCCAAACGAGTGCGCTGATAGCTCGCACAGATAACTTCTACGTTTTCGACAAGCGACCAGCCCACTCCAAGCATTTCATCCCTCGCGCGGAGTTCAAGCCCGAGTCGAACGTACTCGCCGATCCTCTCGCGCCGGGTGCGGCAGATGGCATCGTCGAGCTTGCGAGCGACAAGTCTGGTATACATCTGGTCTTTGGAAGTAATCAGGGTGGTGTGCAGCTTTACTCGCACAACATCCCGAAGGATACTGGTGGAATGAAGCGCGCACACGGTGGAACTGGAAAGGAGATTGGCTATCCGGCGTATAGTGGCGTGTTCATCGAGTTCCACGAGGTATGTCCTCTTGCATGCCGTACTTCGGATTGCGAGTCTGACCAAACCCAATAGCCTCTGGCTTCATTCGTATATCCTGACGCATACCCGGGCAAGAACGATACGATTCTGACGCCGGACGAAATCTACAACAGCTATACGCGCATGGATGTCCTATACAAGACTCACACCGGCCTCTGATGATAGTATTTGCCTTTTTCTCAGAGCCAATGCATGGATTTGGATAGATCTGAAAACCCGTTGGGGATATATAGTCTATCTGCCAGGGTAGCACGCGTGTGCTCTAGTAGGCCCCTCTGTGGATTGTATACGCGCGCGTCGCAGTCCTCACTTGTCCGATGCTTTCTCTATCACTATGCAAACATTCTCGGAGCCTCGCGTTGGTGGTCGGTGTGCTCGACAGCCCCCACCAGAGGCAAGTGAGAAGGGTCCACCTTAGCGTGACTAACGCGAACAATCACGATGTGAGCACGATCAGTCACATCCCTTTGCTCCCAAGACGCGTCGTCGCTCGGCGTCCGGAACCCTCATCATCTGCATGATTCGGGGCAGCCGGATGCCCGAGTATGTATGGGGACGTTGAGATACGGCTGCATCATCTAAATTTGAGATGATACGCACTTGGGTCTTCGTACAGTTTGATCTCTTGGAAATCACGAGCAGCCATTATTCAAGGCCGCGTCCTAGCCTCCGTCTGAGATAACCATGTTTATACGTAGTAGATATAAATGCATTAATGGATTTCTTGCCGTAGGATTTCTAAACGATGTAGACCACTCCAGATAATATCGTCCTTCCCTCTGGGCGGCTCAGACGGTCGTGGGATCGTGATGGTGTCCTATGGTTGGACGAATACGCCTGCGATCACTGTTCCCGTCAGCGAATCTGGATTTGGGATAATCTACATCGTCTGGAAAGTCTACGGCAAGAAATCCATTGTAGCTATCTTCAAGAGTCCAGATTCAAGTCACGGTCCAGATTTTAGGCAATATCTAGCCGTTCCGACCTCATTGTTCAGGCTCGCGGGTAGGAAGAATGAGTCGAATCACCTGCGCTTCCCGAGCAAGTCTTGCCGAGCAGTTGCCAAGAAAAGCTCGAAGGAGTACTGAATAAACCATCAGAGCCTCTGTGAAGGAGACAGACGACTGCAAGTGCTAGGTTTGGGCCCATAATTAGACCCAAACCACTCGACCACACGAGAAACCTGCGAGATCAGCGACGGATCCCTCAAACGAAGGATCCCACGCTGACCGTAGCATCGAGAACAATAGAGCGCCTGTATGTGGTTTGATCCGCAGTACAAGCTGGTCCACAAAGACGTGCACGACGGAGGGGGAATATAAACCCAGCGGGGCTACTTGACGCTTTTTCCAACTCGCACCACCACCACCACCGATCGTCTTGCGATGCCGCATCCGTACCCTCACCCTACCTCCAGCGCTCAGCTGGCATTCAACGTGTCCGACGATCCGCAATCCCTTTTCAACATAGACCGAAGATTGTATTTACAGGCGTCGGAGGCAGACCAAGTGTGTATTATCGTTCTCTAGATTACATCCGTAGCTAATAACATCGTGAAGAACAATAATATCCCTCAGCCACAGTCTTACATCCACAGCGAGCAAGCGCAAGGTCCCTATGACGAGAGGTGGCTAGACAGCCTCTACGTCCCGTTCAACACGGCGGATGGCGTCGCCGCCCCGAACGCCTACGAAACTACACATGTTCAGGGCTTCGCGCCCGCCGATACCCAGGCTCTGTTCACCCACCCAGCAATGCCCGGCTCAAACGGCGAAACGTTTCATCAGCAGTGGGCGCCTTTCAACGCGCCGAACCACAACCCCTCTGGCGGCAACGTTGGGCACGGCGCGTTCGGCGGCAACTGCGTCGTCGAACAATTCTGGGCATATCTTCAGTCACAGCCCCTTCGCCCCCAAGACATGGACGTGAACGGCATGCTGCTCCTAGGCCCAACTGGGTCGCTTACTCCGATGTCTATGCCGTCGATGACCGACGCCGAGACTCATTCGCCGCCTAGTGGCCTCGATACGCCCCCCAACGCGTTGTCTCCGCAAGCTCGTGCATTGCGCATCGACTACGAGCGTCGCTTTGGTTACGGTGAGCCTTTATGTTGCGTGTTATTAGACGGCATCTGACACTCACTCATCCGCAGGTCAACATGTTTTGGCGCAGGAACCAGTCGTAACGGCGAGTCAGTATGGCGTGCCACCCTTTCAGGTGGGCGCGGCACCCCCACTCGTCGATCCGGCGTATCTAGGAGCCCACGGTGAGATTATGGCGGATTTTGACTGGTCCGCGAACATGCATGGGATAGGTGGTGCGCACATCTTCATCATCCGGTATTCTATCATCAGCTAACGTCCGCATGTCCATGTAGGCGTCCAATACCCCGCTCCGAGTAGCCAAAATTGGCAACACACGTCGTACACGACGACGAGCCAGGGTATCGCCACCGGCGCGGCCCTGAATAACGACAACGTAATATCAACCGACCCCACGCGCGCGGGAGGCGCCCGCACGAAAGGCGCCGGCAGTCAAGCATCGTCGCGGTCCAGAACGGTAAACGCGGTGGCGGGCCCGTCGAGGAAGAGACGCTCTGCGCGTACCCAAGATCCCTACAAGGACATCGAAGTTCGTGAGGAGCATCCACTCTGGCACAGCGCCGAGAAAGAGGAGAAGATGGGGGCGGACAAGAAAGACGCGCTCACAGAGATGTTCCACAACTACCGCCGCAAGCTGGCGAAGGTGTGCCTCTTCCCTGGATGCAAGGACGGGGGAAAGTCCTTGGCTTCGTACCAGTCCTTCGAGAGGCATGTGCGTCGCGCACACCTCAAGAACTGGCAGACGGCGGTGTGCCCCATATGCGGCGAGAAGTATTCTTGCAAGGAAGCTGTCGTGGCGCACATGAAGAGGACGGACGGGCAAGACGGCTGCAAGGGGAGCCGCACGGGGAAGAAGGGGAATAGGTCGAAGGGCAAGGGCAAGCAGACTTGAGGGCAAGGATGAGAGTGTCAGGTTCGACCGCCGGTTCGCGGGCGACGATGAGCCGTAGAAGGGATCTAGGCGCATCTACGATGGCACAGATAGACGGATGAGTTTCTTGAGCTAAAGAACGGATGGCATGTACACGTACTGGTCCGCTCTGTATAACATATCGCGTGGCTTGCTGCTCTGAATGAATGCATACATGTTTTGACTCTTGAAAGGAGTGCACATCAGGACCAGATCGGACTTCGCTATCATTGAGTCCACAGCGAAGCTGCGCGGGCGCTGTAGTTCGATATCAGCTGACAATAGGTAGGCGCGCATAAATCTAATATAATCAACTCACATCGCGGCGATCGGGTAGCTGCACGGATGAAGAGAGTGCCAGCAACATGGGAAGGAGACGCGTCAAACGCAGTGAAAGCAGACTCAAAACGAGCGCTACACGCTCTGTCTCCGCGATGCCGCCCGCGATTCTAGGTCTGTGAGAGGCAGAGTACAGTTCGAGTAGCTCATACGTCTGGATGAGCGGGTTCAAACCACTGTGTGGTGGGTTTTCGAACTGTTGTCTGGGGGGAGGGCGTGGGAAAGTATGAGTAACCGGACTTATTTAATGCTATGTGGTCATGTATGGCCTTATGGGCTTGGCACGAGAGAGGGCGCAACGCGCGAATCGTGGTTGTCAGACGACCATCACTCCCCAAGTCGTCACCTATCGCCGTACATGGAGCTCTGTCGGGATCTTTCCAGCTTGTACTCACCCCGAGTCTACCGGATGCGCTCCAGTTCGTGTATGAGCCGTTAAACGAGAACAGCGCTCATGGGGCGCTCTTCACCGACGCAACGGAGATCACCCAACTCCAGGCGCGGTTCCTTCCGAACGCCGGCGTGCAGTTCCTGTCGATCTCTCCGGACGGTATAAAAGGCTGTTCGGGACTTCGGGCCTCCTGCTGGTTGAAACCGGTGCACATGTGCATGCCAGGCTTCTTCGGGTAACTTGAAGAACGACGAGGATGCGAATCTGTTGCTAGACGATGGCTATATGAATACGCGCATCAACGTCCTGTACAGGATTCGTATAGGGATGTGACAGTAGTCTCTGCCTCTCTCATAGCATTGCAAGGGTATATGTATGAAGATCTCTGTGTGTGGACTCGCAAAGCGTATCTTACTAGTAGTTGAGGGTGTTCTGGAGTCTAGTAACCTGCCTGGCGTATAACCGCGTGGGCCGTGTCGTGGTCAGCGAAGCAGCACCGTTCTATCTGCATACGATGTATGGCACGTGGAGAGAACCTCAAAATGGTTGTTCGTCTACTCACGTCTCTTTGATAGAGTATAGAGGAGCAAACTCCCTCGGTCATTCCGCATCAGCGTGGCTAGACACGAACAATCACGGAGTGAACGCGAGCAGTCACCCGTCACGCCCCTTCGTAGCCCCGCGACGCGCGCCGACCTGGGCGTCCCGAACTCTCTGAGTTCCGGCTCTCTGACTCTCAATATCCTTGCAAGATCGATAGCATTACATATACATGTATATAGCTTTAACGCGGGCATGATGCCCAACGCGCTTATGCTGCGTCGTCATTTGGGGGACGTTCAGTTCGGCCACAGTTTCAAGCGCGCCATAAAGTGCATAGCTCGCCTTCGGTCATGCTTTGAACCCGTTTCCGAATGGATAATCAACTTGAGTGTTGGCACAAAGGAGGACAAAAAGTAGTCAATGAGCTACCGAGGACCATGAATACGAGATAAACATGCAAGCATCTCCTACTCCGGTGACCGGACAGTGGTTCTTGCGTCAGCGATATCGCCTCACCCAGTGCATCACTGAGAAAGATGGTGATTATTCTAGCAAAAAACGAGGCGCAAATTCGGACTTTCAATGCCACCCGGAAGTCGGAACGGGCGTAATCAAACTCGGTGCCCGTGATCAGTTCGTCGTCTGTCTCTTACCACCACCGTCCCCCGACCGACGTCCTCCGAACTATCCCTACCCGTATCTTACACTAGCCACTCTCAGAACATTCAACATGTCTGACAACCCAGATTTTCTGCGCAACTTGGATCCTCGTCTTCATCCTCAGGCGTCGGATGCAAACCGCGTATGTATTGTTCATGACATTGTCTATGTACGTCCGTGGCTAACACACTATGATACAGATGAACAACTCTCCTCAATCATACGTCCTCAACGACAGCCACCCCACGGTGGTATCGTCGGGAGAGCCCTTCGGCCACCCCGTCGAGGTCGGTGGCGCCACCGCCTCAATGGCCTGCATCGTTACTGAGGAATCTGCTCAGGCTCAGAGCACCATGCATGCCGGCATGCAGCCTCCTCCCGCATACCCAGCAGTATCCAGCGCGAGTGCCCATATGGTCTACCAGTCCCCGGCGTCGTTGAACACTGGCAACCACAACACCACAATCGAAAGAGCGGGCCCGGACCGTTCTCCGCTTGGCGTTTCCCATACACCACCGAGCTTCAGCAACGCGTCGGGCAACGGATCGCCAGTTCTGCCCCCCTTCATAGTTCTCTGGGACTGGATGGAGAGTGAGGTACTTCCGCACTTGCCGAGTGAGGAGCGCATCGACTTTCACCGTCGTCTTGAGCAATGTGCGTTATACCCGTTCGCGTACATGGTAAACACGCTCATTCTGAATGCATACAGACGATTTCCGCCCGCCTTCGGATTTCATTGTGAGCGCCATCNTGAATGCATACAGACGATTTCCGCCCGCCTTCGGATTTCATTGTGAGCGCCATCGGCAGGGGTTTAGACCGGGACCGTGTGCTTGCAGCACCTGTGATGCACATTGTCCCTGGGTTACTTCAAGAATTTCTGGAGCGCTCCCACCCAGCCGCATCGCCGTCCATCCACGATGTCAATCATGCAGATGCTAGTGTGCACGCGTATACAGGTATGCTCTTCTATTCGTCTCATCATGGTCAGCTTCCTTATTTTGTCCATCCAGGTGTCCAACGCACCACCCGGCACCGTGGACTTGCACACCACGGGCCATACGAGATGACCACGACGTACCAGGCTGCCGCCATCGGCGCAGACCTGAAAGATAACAATACAGAATCGACCGGCATTGCCCTCGCGGGAAGTGTCCGGTCGAACAACACGGGCGGATCCGCATCGTCGTCTCCCAGATCGGCGATCGCGGCGACGGCCCCGTCCACCTCTTCCGCCAACACCCCGCGCCCTCGGGGCCCTCGGGTTCCCAAGCCAGAGAACCGCAAGGATAACCCTGATTGGAACAACACTCTCCTGACGTTCACTGTGGCGGAGAACATTGCTCTCGATGAGATGTACACCCACAAGGGCGAATCGGACGCCTCCAAGACATGCATCTTCCCTGGGTGCGATGCGGAGACCATGGCAGCGCTGCAGGTCCGCAATCGCCATGTCCTGGGCACCCATCTGGAGACTCACACAAGGGCGCGAGTGTGTCATATGCACCAAGCGGCTCCCGGCGGAGCAACAGGCGGCGGGACGGCGGTTCATGATCCAGCGCGATGACGGTTTCAAGCGCCATATGCAGAAGGTGCACTCGGGGGAGACTGCGAGCGCGGAGGGCGGGGGTGAGGACGAGGGTAAAGATGATGGTGAGAACGAGGACGGGGAGGTAGATGAGTAGTGGTGGGGAGAAGGCGGTCATGACGTCGAGCGAGATTTGCGAAGTTGGGCGCTGCTTGCGGCGATCCCCTCAGCGGATGTCAGGCGTATCGACGACGAAATATATGAACGTATGAGCTTCCTGGACCTCATGACGAACGGCACATACACGTACCAGGCTGTTCTGTAACAACAAATTGTAATGTTCGCTGTGCTGAACAAATATATGCATGTTTCACTAGCTCGTTGGCCTGCTCCGTGCCGGGTCGCCGGGATTATCCAGTTGCGGGATGTGCATGAGCACGCGGCGAGGTTTCCACATCATCACGC